CTCAATGGTTTCATTCACTTACCTCTGAGACTATCTCAATAAATGGAAGATCTGAGGCATATTCCCTACATGAGAGGTTTAAACTGACCCCTGAGCTACTTCCTAAAATGGAGGTTTCTGTACCTGAGCTCTGTGTGTGTGTGTGTGTGTGTGTGTGTGTGTGTGTGTGTGTGTGTGTGTCAGTCGTGGGGCCTGAACTCTGGGCCTGGGCACTATCCCTCAGCTCTTCAGCTCAAGGCTAGCGCTCTACCACTTGAGCCACAGCGCCACTTCTGGCTTTTTTCTTTTTGCTTATGTGGTGCTGAGGAATGGAACCCAGGGTCTCATGCATGCAAGGCAAACACTGTACCACTGAGCCACCTTCCCAGCCCCCTGAGCTACTTCTTAATAAATTAGGTCTACTTTTGTTGGGCTTGGGTGCTCCACCCAAACATATGGTTTTTGTCTTTAAAAGCTTTGTCTGAGGCCAGACACTGGTGGCTCATGCCTATAATCCTAGCAACTCAGGAGGCTGAGATCTGATGATCACAGTTCAAAGCCAGCCCGAGCAGGAAAGTCCGTGAGACTCTTATCTCTAATAAACCACTAGAAATCTGGAAATGGCTCTGTTACTCAAGGGGTAAAGTGCTTGCCTTGAGCTGAAGAGTGCAGGGACAGTGTCCAAACCCAGAGTTCAAGGCCCAGACCAACAAAAATAAATAAACAATAATTTTTTTTTAATTGAGGGAAGAGGAGGGGTTGGGAGGGATGGAGGAGAATAGTAAAAGGGATGATATTGATCAAGATACATTGTATTCATAAACTGTTTTGTTGAAGACAACTTCTTTGTACAACTACTTAAACATTATATATATATATGTATGTGTGGGTATATATATATATGTGTGTGTGTGTGTGTGTGTGTGTGCAAATGGCTAAACGAACTTGAAATGAATCAGAATAGCCTTGGCACTGTGAGCTCTGGCATTCGCTGGTCCCTCTGCTTCTGCCCATGCTGAGCCCCACTAAGAATTAGCAACTTCTGTCAGCTTCTACCAACTGATCTCAAAATAGGAATCATCATGGATCTGGCTCTTGAGCACCCATAGAACCACCAAAGAGACTGGGCTTGGACTGGGACAATATCTGGAGCCCTCAGTGTGGCCCCAGAGACACATGGGATCCCTGGGAAAATCGGAAACCTTGAGGCTAAGGAAAATCTCAGACCAGACTCATGGTTCTTTATCAAAGCAGGTCAGTCTATCCTGTACATGCCTTCCAGGTGCCAGACAACAGTGACACCAATGGGCAGTCAGGAGGCTGTGAGTCATCGGCTGTTTCCTCAGCCCCAGCTCCCACCCTGGCCTCTTCATCTTTACTGGCATCTGCTTGCCCCAAGTCCCACTGGGCCATAATAGAGTGCAAAGCAAAGGGGTTGGTGTTTGTTCTCCATAGCACTTAGAAGACTGGACTCTCAGAGGCCTAAGAGAAACCTCTTCTTGCCCCATCCCAATCTGGTGGCAGGCCTAAGGCCTAACAAAACCACTGGCAACTTTCCCTTGCATTGGCCATCTACCATGCCAGGACCAAGGCAGTTCAGTCTTCCGCAATCTTAGAAGGCACTCAGAAGCCTCTGGGACCTTTCAGCCCATCTGGGGGCCTTAGAATGGATTCTCCCTATCTATTCTCCATACATGTCCTCTCTTGCTCAGTCACCCATCCTAATATAGTCTTAGCTCCTTACACTGCAGATGAACTTGGGACTGGAACTTGGGAGGATGTTACAGAAATGGACACAATCTAGGAAAGCCACAATCTAGGACCCCCAAGAACCTGCCTAACTGGAACCTTTCCCTGGAGAATTCAAGCTCTGGGAAGCCATTGGGCCAGGAAGCCCACATTGGTTAATTGGAACTTCCTAAAGGATTTCTTATTTATTTAGTTATGTCAGTCGTGGGGATTGAACTCTGGGCTTGCGCTCTTGAGCTCAAGGCTAGCACTCTACCACTTGAGCCACAGCACTACTTTCAGCTTTTTCTGTTTATGTGGTGCGGAGGAATCAAACCTAGGACCTTGTGCATGCGAGGCAAGCAGGCTACCACTGAGCCACTTTCCCAGCCCTTATTTCCCCTTTAGAAGAAGGGAATTATCTGGCTTGGAGAGAAATGTCCAGCAGCATTGATGATAGGCTGAAGCTGTCACTGAATAAAATCCCAGAACACCCCCCCAAAAAACAACAACAACAACAAAACAGGCCCAAACCTCCATGTTCTAGCTGTAGAAATCTGACACTCCCTGAGCTGGGAAACTCTCCCTTTCCATGCTAAACTCCCCTCCTCCTGTCCTTCTTTTCTAATCCCTTCTCTTGTGAACAGATGAGCCAGTAGGGTAGGAGCTGCTAGGCCTCCTTATCACCTCACCCCACAGCTTAGAGTTTTCAGATGGGGCCAAAGGGGGAAGGACTATAAGTCTGGGCGACAAAGACATCTTTCCAGCCTCCGGCAACCCAATTATCAGCCTCCCTACCCACCATGCACCCATGTGGACAAGGGGTCAGTAGCCAGGTATACAAGACCACAACCTCCTCTGTGCTTTCCTGACAGGCACCAGAGGTAGAGTTGTAAATAGGTAATCTGTCTCGCTCACCTGCAGCTTACCGGCTCTTCTTTTATACATCACCCACCTGTCCATTGGGGAATGAGCCTCAGTCTGATCTGAGGTGGCAACGTGAGCAGCAGTATGGGGTGCAAACAGCTCCCCACTGTGCCTAGCAGAGAGCTCTTTCTCCAGGTCCAGGGTTCTCTATAATGGGCACAGATCTGGAGGCTCACAGAGAAGGAGGCCTGTTCCTCCTTAGGGGGGAGCTGGGGCTCTTCCAATCGGAAGGATGAAGGCCACAGGCATCTTGGGTAAGGGCGAGTTAACAATGTAATCTATGGGGCTGGGAAGGTGGCTCAGTGGTAGAGCACTTGCCTTGCATGCATGAGGCCCTGGGTTCGATTCCTCAGCACCACATAAGCAAAAAGAAAAAAGCCGGAAGTGGCGCTGTGGCTCAAGTGGTAGAGTGCTAGCCTTGAGCTGAAGAGCTGAGGGACAGCGCCCAGGCCCAGAGTTCAGGCCCACGACTGGACCCCCCAAAAAATGTAATCTATATACTGGGCCCAGGTACCCCAGCACTCCAGCTCCCAGCTGCTTCTATAGCAATCAGGGCCTGGAGGAGGGACAGGAAAGTGGGAAACCTTGCCTTATCCAGAAGGATGTGCCCCTCTGGCAACTACTTCACAGTGGCCTTGATGAGTATAAATAGCCTGGGCAGTTAGCACTTCGATACTGGCTCCTTGAGAGTGTGGAGCTGTGGCCTTGCTGCTTGCTCCTCTTCAGGTGGCAGGCACAATGCTGGCAGGCTTGGAAAGTAGACACCCTATGTCCCATGATGGGAGTACCATAGTGAACCACAGATGGAGAAGGGGGGGTGCTAGAGAAGCACCAGAGTTGTCTAGGGAAGTAAGACAGGCAGCCGGATACAAGGAACAACCCATCTAGGATTCAAATCTGATCTATTCAACAGTCCCCCAGAGCCCTATAATTTGAGCTTGCCTGTGCACACTGTGTCTTGGAGCCTTCAGACTGACCCAAGTTCTCTCTAGCCACATGGCCCTTATACATGAGG